ACAGCAGTTTTGATCTTGGTTAGATCTCATCAACACCACCAGCGGAAGTCGAACCACGACAGTGTAACCTTGACACGTTAACCACTCCACCACATTTGCATTAGTGCCCGTGAGTCACAGGGCAGATGTGAATCTCTATGATGACCAGACATTTTTTCATATCACATGCTTTGGTGGGATTTTCGATGAATCAAAGATTACACTGGCCTTGAAGTATTATCTTTCTATTACGATGAAAACAAGCCTGGCTTTCTATGAGATGTGTTCATCCTATTTCGTTAAATGTGAAAAAGGACTTATAGTTGAGTTTTCTTACAACGGTATAAGTATACCTGCGAAGAAAAGTTGGGTTTCAAGGAATCTCTTGTTGCATAATTGTTGAGCTCACTTCCATTTCAAGTGAAAGTGTTGGGTGAAAAAATTCGAAGGTCGGTTCCACCAGAAGACGACGGCGGATCCCTCTCGACCAGCTCTCGATTGGCTTTACTGGAATATTCATGCTGACGCTGTTTCCGAGGCAATCTCCTTCGATTCCGGTGAAAAGGTACTAAGCCTTCGTCTGACGAACATCATCAGAGCAAGGTATCATCGCCACAACAAAATTCAAGCTAACAAGTCAAGAAAACTCATCAGGAAATCCCTAAAAAGTGGTATATATACTTTACATCTGGCCTCTTTGATCAAGTAAAAAGTGATTTGGTTAGTTATGGTCATATGTCAACTTTAATGCATGTGAGTGTCCCTGTCTCCGTATGTGTGTGTGCATGCTTGTGTTCGCTTATGCACGAAACCTGCAGTGATGGCTCAAAGTAATTAGGACACCAAAAAGGAGCGTCTGTTTTTGGCAATAAAGGTTTGATGACCTCTATCTCCCCCTTTTCACATAAATGTTATAACCATCACTCCGATTGCGCAAGATTGGACACACGTCTGGTTTTGTTGCTGTGCCTATTTTTTGTTTTTGGTCTCAAAGCGAGAGAGAAAACGTGAGCTGAAAGTACAGACGTGACTATGATTAGAAGCAAGACAAGAAAAGACTAGTTGCATTGCCACCTTTTTGTAGGCGGCTCAACTCCCTGTCTATCCTTGAGTCTATTAATTAAGCTCTAAATAAGCACATACAC